CCTGCTTGTTGTATGTGCCATGCTTAAGAAAGGTAGGGAAGACCCCTGATGCTTCAAGTCCTGGATTTCCTGCGGCAGTTATTGTCATCCTGAATCTGTAGAAAGCCCCTGCTGGTGTTCCTGCTTTTTAAAAAATGTAGCTTGTTGTCTGCATCATTTCTAGCTAGCTCACAGGCATAGGAGTTTTGAGGAAGGGGAGACAGAGCTAGGCTTTGATGTGTGCTCGGGGGAAAATTTCCTTATCTGGTATCTGTCAAAAGGAATAATGTTAAAGTATTATCAAGTAGTGGATGTCAATGGCAAGGACCTTGTCTGTAACAGAATTTCATGGTGGACCAATTAAAAAAGTACTTGGTGATCTTTGTACAAACTTAAATAAATTTATTTTGGTAGGAATGGCTGGACAGAAGAGGAAACTTGGGCTGTAGCTAGACTCGGTACACAGCAGAGAAGATGCTTGCTTTTAAAAACTTACAGGTCTGTGCTGTGACATCACTAAATATACAGTAGTAGAATAAACGGCAGAAATAATTTATATCTGCTGGTGTTTTAGCACTCTGAGCTTTTGGTGTCCTCAACTTGCTTGCTGCAGGTCCTCAACTGTGATAGGAATCAAAAGGAAAACTCGTTAGATTAATAAAGATCTGAAATGATCTATGCTGCATTTTTTTCAGCAGCTGTAGCAAAGATTATTTTGCAGTGCCTATATTTGTGAGACAAATAACACCACTCTCTTAAGAAGCATATTTGTATTTTGGGATGATAGGTGGGAAAATGACGAGCACACGCTTCCCAATTTGTGCTATACAGCTTTTTAGCTGTACAGAAGCAAAGATAAGGAGGAACTGTGGTATTTGCAATACTTTTCTCTGTACCTACCAAGGACACTAATACTTAGCCTTTTTTCAGAGTTGTGCTTCTGATTTTCCCTTCTTTCAAGGATATCTTTATTGCCACAGATAAGCAAGATGGATTGCCACACAAGGGCTTGGATACACGCCTTAGTTTAATGAATTACCATTGTCTTACCTGAGTCATAACCACTGACCATAATGTACTTGACTTAACTGTAAATGGAGATGAAATCTTTTTTCACTGAAGGCTTAAACTAACCTGTTTTATATCTCAATTGACTAAGAACATTTGCGCCTCAGCCCATGCTCAGTATTTCATTAAGCTGAGGTTTCTTAGTCATGAGATCAAGTTCACTTGGGAAATAAAATTAAGTAAAAAAAGAATTCTGTGCTTAATTTGAGGAAATAGAAAAAAGGGTCTTATTCACAAGTTGGCATTCATGTGTTTTAAATCAAATACAGAGAGGTGGTGGCTTTTCATGGTTTATATGGTATGTATTTGTATCTTAGTTTATCTAGAGAAAACTGGGACTTCAGTCTTTTTTTTTAAAACTGAACCAAAATGCTCTGTAAAACTATTTGCTCTTACGGAATGAAGCTTTATCCTGTCTCTGTAAATAAATATTTACTGCAGTAGGGATTTACAATTTGGGTTTCCTGCATTGTAATTTGGCAACAGTTCACTCTGGATGTGTCTTTCTCCCCTGAGATGATATCCTGTGCCAGAGAAGCTTTTGTGCAACTTACATGGTGTCTGCTATGTTACTCTGGTAGTTTTGGTTTCAAAACTGCATCTTCTGATTTTTTTTTTTAAAAAGTTTTGCTGAAAAATACAGTCCATTTAAATTGTAGTTGGGATACTTGAATTTGTCTTTGCTTACTTATGCAATGGATTTCAGTTTTGTAGTACATCTGTATATTTCACATACTATTCCTATTGATTTTATTCCTTGCAGTTGTATCTAGGTATTACATTGCCTTCAAGATTTATTTTTCTTTTTAATTCACAATTTATGAACAGGTTGGCTTTATGGTACAAAAACAATTAAAAAAATTCATTTGAAGTTCATTATTTTTATTCTTCACATTTATACTTCTTCAAACCGAGAAATTTTGATTGTCAGGACATTGTCAGCTATTTAAAACCTCTCTTAAGGTTGCTCTAGGCTTTCTTGCTGTGAGGTATCCTCTGTAGGATTCTATGGAGTCTCTTCGTGTACCTAAGAATCATATGCTGAAAGCTTAGGAGAGTGCCTGAAAATGGTTTTAGCTCTTGAAGTATGACAGATATCTGATCAAAATGAAGGATGTTTGCTATTGTATTGGGCTTGCGTGAAAGTTTTGGTAGTTGGGGGGCTGCAGGGGTGGCTTCTGTGAGAAGACGCCAAAAGCTTCCCCCATGTCTGGTAGAGCCCATGCCAGCCGGCTCCAAGACAGACCTGCCACTCGCCAAGGCCGAGCCCATCAGTGACGGTGGTAGTTCCTCTGTGATAACGTATTTAAGAAGGGGGAAAAAAACTGCTGCACAACGTCAGCCAGGAGAGAGGAGTGAGAATATGTGAGAGCAACAGCCCTGCACAC